GATTTACGCGTCTCGTCATCCTTCTCTCATGACATTTTGACAATAGGAAACGATCATAACCATTTGCTTATTCTACACCTCACACACACTACACTGTACACTCCGCAACCATAAGAACAGATAGTTTTGCCTGGAACAGTACACAATGCTCAATATTTAGAGATTGTGACCATAAGGATTGAACGCAGGGCTTCACACGTGCTGGGCAAGTGCTCTGCCACTGAGCTGCATCCCTAGCTCCATCTCCTCCTTTATTTTTTTAGAAGCAGAATCTCACTAACTTGCCCAGGCTGGGCTCGAGCTTGCCATCCTCCTGCCTTCGTCTCCCGAACAGCCGGTATTATAGGTGTGCACCACCTGCCCTGGCTCAGCACACACTGGATCAATGAATAGCCCTCTTCCGAGGATGAGGAGACTGAGATCTGCTGCGAAGTGTGCCTCGGATTTTGCCGGATCTGGAGAAGTTTGTCCTGGGAGCTGCAAATCTACCTTCCGAAAATAATGATGCCCCAGAAGTCGCTGCTCTTGATGGCCGCCTCTCCCCACTGGGTCGAGAAGCAGCGCCCGACAGTGTGTATTTTTAACCAGGATAGCTCGCCAGGGTGCAGCACATGAGCCCCCATGGCACTGCTGGGTCGCTGGGCTTGCCCTTGCAGGCACGCAAGTCCCCAAAGCGGTAGCCGCAGACTCGCCTCTGCCGGTCCCCGCGCGCCCTCTGCCGGCCACTCTTGGAAGCCTCCGGGGCGCGCTTCCTGGCTGACTGGCCTTGGTGACCCCACAGAGCTGAGGGTTCTGATTTACAGAGCTTCGGACACAGTGAATAGCGCAAGAGAAAAGACAAGCAAACAATGAACTCTAACGGGGTCGCCGTGAAGGATACAGAAATGGCCATTCCTTCCTTAGACTGTTAAGGATCGATTTACCTGTGTCCTGGGATCCAGGCTGAGGAAAGGTCAGTCTAACCAGGTGTGGACTGGTATGGGCCTGGGGTGCGATGAGATGAAGCTCTTAGGAAGGGAGGTGAGCCCTTTTTGTCGTAAGATAAGAAAATGTCAGGAGAATGGAGGAGTGGGGCATTGCAGGGAACGGTGCCCATGGCTGGTGATCACATGCATACATGAATGAGTAACTCTTTCTGTGAAAAAGAACCCAGTACAGGCCGCTGAGGAATACAATGAATTGGCCTGTTTAGTTGAAGAGTTTGTGCACTTAATTTCTTGTTCCTTAAATATTTCTGTTTCCTTCTTTCTTATTCAGTTTCATAATTTTTAAATCTTTTTCATGTTTTGTTTGGTTTTGAGACAAGGTCATACTATGTAGTTCAGGCTGGCCTCAAACTCACAGGGATCCTCCTGCATTGGCCTCCGCATGTGCTGGGATTACAAGTGTGTACCACTATGCTTGACTTTTTTTTTAAGTTAGTTATTTGCCCTGCTGGAGATTGAACCTGTCTTAACGCATGCTGGGCACATCCTCTACTCACTGAGCTACATCCCCAGCTCCAAACTGTTTCAGTATTTTAAAGTAAAATAGATAATAAAGGCTCCTCCTTTACCCTTCACTCTCTTCCCCTTTGCTCCTACCCATCTGAAGTTGTCTCACTTGTCTGTTATTCATTATTGAGAAGAAACAGAAACCCTGCCTCAGCATTTGCCCTGTGCATTCTCATTATTTTGACATCAAATTCCTTTTGTAAAGCACAGTTTACAGTCATCTCTACCTCCTCAACTTCCTTTCACGTGCCACCAAGCCAAATCTGGTTTCTGCTCCCTTGAGGCTCCTTCAGCATCGCCCAATGCCCCTTCTTCACTGGGACATGCAGTGTGTGTGTGTGTGTGTGTGTGTGTGTGTGTGTGTGTGTGTGTGTAAGGGGGTGACTTTTGGTTCTCTTGACTACATCAAGTACAGTGTTCCTGTCACAACTTCTCTAACCCAATTTCCCCCTCTTTTAGTGGCTTGTGCTCCACCAACCCCTGTATTTCTGGGACTCTGTTCTGCTGTCACTTGTAGGTTACTTTATCCATTCCCCTGGCTTTGATGACCACGTTCTTTTTGTTTGTTTGTTTGTTTTTTGAGGCAGAGTCTCACTATGTAGTGAGACTGACCTGGAACTCACTATGTAGCCCAGGCTGGTCTCGAACTCACAGCGATTCCCCTGCCTCAACCTCCTGAGTGCTGGGATCACAGGCTTCTGTCACCATGCACAGCTGGTGGCCACTTTCTGATGGCTGTCAAACTTCATCTCCAGGGTCTCCTACTAGACACTGAGTCAAGTACTTTCTAGCCGCTTACTCCTTGGGCTTCTGCACTTAGGCCATGTCCAAGCTACTCTTTTCCCTCCCTTCTCAAATTAGGTCATCACTGCTTGCCCAGAAACCATCATCCTTCCCAGCCAGGGATTTAGCTCAGTGGTGCCATGCCTGCCCCTCAAGCAAAAGGTCCTGAGTTTGATCCCCAGTACCAGGATAAAAAAAAAAAAAAAAAAAAAAAAAAAAAAGCCTGTTTTTCAACACAAAAACAAAAAAAAAAAAAAAAAAAAAAAAAAAAAAAAAAAAAAAAGAACCATCTTTCCAGATGACTGGACTTATCACAGCAAAGATGCATATTGAGGCCATACTTTTTTTGTTGTTTTGTACCAGGGATCAAACTCGGGACCTTGTGCTTGCAAAGCAAGCAGCGGCACCTCAAATTTAGATCAGCTTTGAAAGATTTAAAAGACAGTGTCACCTCTGTCCCAGAGCATCACATACTCCCAGGAACTTTCCCCTCTGACTTTGTAGCAGCCCAAATCAGTTCCCTGTCCTCTCTTCTAGTAGCTGCTCTTGCCTTTCTCAGCTGCCAGAATGTCCCATACCTACAACCTCCTCGTGCTGTCATTCTTAGCCACTGTCACCTCCACCCTCCCGTTTGCTGGCTCTGCCAGCACTCTGCCAAATACTTGACCTTTTCTCCACCCTGTACCTCTGTGTCCCATCTGCTATGTCTGATATCGTTACTTACCATCCCCTTCTTTGAACTTCTATTTTTTTCTTTTTAGTGGTGGTAAGAATGATCATTTATGAGCACTTACCATGTGGCACACAGTATATTAGGTGCTTTATACACATTAGGTCATTTAGTCCCTACTCGCTTCCAGGAAGTTTACTATTAATATCATCCCATTTCACAGAAAGGAAACTGAGGCAGAGTGAAGTGAAGCAACCTGGCTGAAGTTACACAGCTGGGAACAAGCCAAACTAGGGTGCAAACATAGGTCAGTATAATGCCATGTTCTAAATTACTGGCCTCTATTCACTATCATTTTCCTCAACAGTCCCTTAGCTTCATGTCACCTCTAGATTTTTCCATATGTCAGACTTCTGCTTCCAAACTAACTGTCTTGGTTCTGGCATTTGGGAAAGATGCTCACATCTGCCCTATTACCTACTACAACACACATGGTTTTTGCCTTTGTTCCTCTACCTCTGTGTATGTGGAAGATGCAAGTGTTGACTATTTTATTCTCATAGTGCATACCCTACTAAGAAGACTTCACTGTCTCATGACAGTTTTCCTGTGTGTCTGACTTTATTTGCAGTTTTGTTGTTGTTGTTGTTTAATGTTACTGAGGTTGAACCTAAGTCCTTCTGCATGTTAGGCCAGAGCTCTACGACTGAGCTACATCCCCAACCTCTTCCCCATTTAAAAAAAAAAATTTTTTTTTTTTTGTTTTTTTGAGACAGGGTCTCACTATGTAGTTCAGACTGCTCTGGAACTCACTGTGTAGCCCAGGCTGGTCTCCAACTCACAGCGATCCTCCTGCCTCAGCTTCCAGAGTGCTGGGATTATAGGCCTATGCCACCACACCCGGCTGGGGTTTTTTTTGGGTTTTTTGTTTGTTTGTTTGTTTTTGGCCCATTTAAAATTTTTATTTTGAGACAGAGTTATGGTAAATTGCCCAGGCTGGCCTTAAACTTTCCATCTTCTTGCCTCAGCTTCCTGAGTAGCTGGGATTATAGGTATATGCCACCTTCCCTGACAGTTTCCTCTTATAAGGAAACCAGTCATATTGGATTAGGGTCCATGTCAGTGACCTAATGTTAATTTGACTACACTTGCAAAGACTTTATTTTTCAAATAAAGGCATGTTCACAGGTACCAGGTGTTAAGACTTCAATACATGTACTTATGAG